AGAGAGAGAGAGAGAGAGAGAGAGAGAGAGACGGGAGTTTGGGATTTAAAGTAATGGTTCAAAGATCCGGACATAATCAAAATATGCTTCAAAGAGAAAGAGAGAGAGAGAGATGAGATGTCGTTTAATCCAATTTGTTGTATTATGATAGATTCGAGGAGAGCTTTTCTTCTAGCAAATTTTGAGGAAGAAAAAAGAAAAAGGCCCGAAGCTTATCGAGCTCCCCGGAAGGGGTACAGCCATCGGACGACGGTAAAGGCAGGAAGGATGATATGATATACCCAAGTGGGCACGCATGACTGTAACGCGTCGAATGTCCGATTCGGCTCTGCTTTTTGTGGACAGGGAGATGAGTCTTCGGTGGTGGGGGGGGGGGGGTGAGAAAAGCGGAGGGAAGGGGCGTGAGAGGAAGGACCGAGCTAAGCGTTGGGCTGCTTGGATTGCAGGCGGGAAGCACTACCACCGTACGGCTCCTCACACTTTTGCTGCTGCTGCGCGCATCTTAAGTGGCAGTGAAAGGGGTCCCCATGTCGGCGGGTAATTGTTGACGAGTAAAACGTATACGAAAACAAAAGGATTCAGCCATGCGGTGCAGAAGACGTCCGGATTTGGTACCTCCCTACTAATTAAACACTTCGCTTCTCACTCCAATTTTAATTGCCAAGTTACAAAACAGTAACGACACCCACTTTAGTTGACATCGTCCTTGTTTGGTTCTAATTATGTTGAACAACCTTACAAAATTGAAAGAGAGATCCATGCATCCGAGGAGTTATTATATAGTAAGATCTAAATATCGTTACTCGTATAATAAACGTTTGGGTGAGCATCTTTTGCAAACCTGACTATCATCACGGTGCATCCAACTTACGATATCATAAAGTTTGATCCACTCAGCCTCGTGTTGAGGCATCAGTTGCAATGACGATGATATGTTATGAGATATTATGATAAAACATTAAAAGTAAAGAATATGAAACCTTGATTAAGAGGACGATGGCTATCGAGGCTGCATATGAAAGTATTATTGTATGACGATAAGAAGATGTTAGGATGATGATGATGATGATGATGATGATGATGATGTGTCAGTTTGAGATATCACGATAAAAACACTAAAAGTAAAGAATATATAAAGTGTTGATTGGGAGGACAATGGCAGTAGTAGTGGCTGGCTGGCTGTACATGAAATCGTTATCCTCGGTGACGTTACCAAATATGCACGATATTAGAGTAAAACCCACCATATCTAATCTCTTGTGGAGCACCAAAACCTACTCTCTTTAATCGATCCACACACACCTTGGGAAAATAAAAAGGCTGACAACAACAAATCAAACGAAACCTCAATCGGCACGAGAATTCGAACTCCTCATCCATATGGATTGAACTTTTGCCTAACGATTAGGTATCAGTTGGGTCCACGGCAACTCGAAAGTCTTCCCATGATTGATGTGACTGATAGTTCAAGGCGACCTTTTTGGCATGAAAAAAATGTAAACACGATCCGGATTCGAGAAGAATGAATGATTCAGATGGGTAGTTTCTCCTGGCAAGCAACAGATCATCGGAGAATCGATTCTTAAATGCAATGTAAACATCAACCCACGTATGCTGATTCCGAGGTGGTCAATGAATGTTAAGGATGTTGTCCACTTGGTGATAACACCATGATGCTTGTACTACGTAAAAAAGACATATCTCTCTCTCTCTCTCTCTCACGATTTTAATGCAAGCAAGCAAGCAAGCTTTTGATATTTACAAAAGTGGTAAAATGAGATCCATGCGGAGCTCAAGTCAAATAGAAAAGTATGGAGTTTTTTAGGGTTCAGAATTACTCGTCCGAAGCCTTGGATAACTAACTATCTACGCTTACGCCGTCGCTCTCCATCTTCAACTGGTCTGCCAACAACAAGTGTATCTATCTATCTATCTGATAGTTTGCATGATTCATTCTTCCGGGCGCTTAATTTGATTCGACAGTAACTTTAGCTTATCCTGTAATAATTAATGTTGTTGAGCGTTATCACTCGGGCTAGAGAATCCCATAACAATATGTAATCCTAATATGTTGATTTGACATCCGTGGAGTAACTTGTCCGAATTCTCTCGAGTCTAGTCTACTTCAGCTCTCATCCCGTCAACAACTTCCGATTACGACGTATCACAAATTACAGATAACTTAGTTTAGGCTTCGATATTGATATCACTATAACAAATAAAATCGAGGTGGCCATCAGAATATTCTAATGCGATGGCCAAAAATAATAGGAGAGATGACAAGCAGCTACTCATCCACCGCTGCTAACACAACTAGTGTTGAAACGTCACTCTTTTTGTTGGTGACGATCGAGAGTAAGAAGCAGCACATCTCTGCTTCTCCTCTCCGTGGCTTTGCATCACTGTTACCAGTCCGTTCTAGGGTGCTGACCGAGGGGCCACCACGTGAATTCCTTCTTGCCTCCTCTTGGTTTTACCCTCCCCCATCTCCGCTTTTCTCACTCTCCTGTTGTCTTTCGTATTCTTCCCCATCCCATACATCCATATCTCCCTTTCCTCTTCCGACGTCGGTGCATGGATTCGACTGCACCGGAGGGCGATCCCGTCTCGCCGGAAGGCGATGCCCCATCTCCTTCCTCCGGCGCCGCAGCCGCAGCAGCGGTCCCAGGCGGAACGGCGGACGCGAGGGCCCAGGCTTCGCCAGCGCCGCTTAGCCGGTATGAGGCGCAGAAGCGCCGGGACTGGAACACGTTCCTGCAGTACCTCCGGAACCAAAGGCCGCCGCTGGCGCTGGCTGGGTGCGGCGGCGCCCAGGTGATCGAGTTCCTGCGGTACCTCGACCAGTTCGGGAAGACGAAGGTGCACGCTCCCGGGTGCGCTTTCTTCGGGCGGCCGACCCCGCCGGCGCCATGCCCGTGCCCACTGAGGCAGGCCTGGGGCTCCCTGGACGCCCTCATCGGACGCCTCCGAGCGGCCTACGAGGAGAGCGGGGGAAAGCCTGAGGCCAATCCCTTCGCGGCTCGCGCCGTCCGCTTCTATCTCCGCGAGATCCGGGAGAGCCAAGCCAAGGCCCGCGGCGTCCGGTACGAGAAGAAGAAGCGAAAGCGAGCGCCAACTTCAGCCGTCCGGGACGCAGGCGACGCTTCTTCGTCTGCTGCCACTGCCGCCGGCGCCACGAGTGGTGGCTCAGGGTCGGACGCCGGGGAGGGATCCTTTACTGCTCAGCCGGGTGGGTCATCTATCTCTTGATCGAGTTGTTGTCCTCTTTCTTTGCCGTTTTTGAATGCAGATGTTGATGATGATCATGGTAAGTTAGGAAGAACCACAAGGGTTGAGTTGCGGTTGAATTCGGGCGATCTTCTTTCATACAACTTTGTTTTGACTCTGAGCTCAGCAATCAATCAAAGATTTCATGAAAGAAAAACAGATATTGCGGTGTCCTCTCTCTTCTACCTTTTTATTTTTGTGTTGACGGAGTGCTTCTTTGAATTATTATTATTATTACTATTTTTATTTTTTTTTGTTTTGCTTTTTTAATTAATTGTGTAACGCTTAGATGTTTGCTTTAGAGTTTAATTCGTTTGCATATACATTTTAGTAGTGGCGTGATACTCTTTCACCACAGGCCTCCAACTGCTTTCCATCTTTTTGATAGCTATGCGCTGTCTTGAAATCCGAATGCTTCATCTGTTGCATATATAAACTCCGATCACTTCAATCCTTGTTATATGTATGCTCCCTCCGGCAAACTTCCATCTCTTCTATGCTACCCTAAGGGTGCTTCAAAAACCTGATGATGATGATGATGATGTCGTTAGATCTGTCGCCTCATTCAGAACTTTCTTGTGATCCGGTGACCAGTTTGCTTGGCTCCTTTGTGGATGATTTGGCTGCTACTCCATCTGGTTTTTTCTTCTTGCTCTTCGTTGCACGATTTAGTAATTTTCATGGAATACTTGTTTCATTTATTATGCCTTTCTATTGATGAGTTTGCTTCCTGCGTTATGGAGCAGACAACTCCACTGTAGGTTTGATCTCAGGCTCTCTTTTTTACTTCTACCCCATATGAGTGAATGTTAATACTCGCCCTCCATTATTTCTTCGGAATGGCAGCTCCACACGAAACGAAAGAACACTAAAATCAATCGACAACTTCTCCTATTCATTCCTGGATCTTGGCTTTCTTCTCTTCTTGTCATCGGCAGACATGACTGACGGGAGAAGTTTGAAGGGAAGCACCCACACGTGTTCTCTCTCTCTCTCTCTCTCTCAAGGCTTCATCCCTAGCTCAGACTTGCAGTGACACCAGTCTCCCCTTCTCTCTTCCGCTTCTTCTTCTTCTTCTTCTTCTTCTTCTTCTGATCGCCACCAGTTCCAGCTGCCTTGCTACTCTACGCACTAGCTGGGTTTCCTGTTTTCCCTTTTTGGTGTTATGTGTGAGCAATTGCAACTCTTTGACCAAGAACCACTCCAACTCGAGCAATTCTAATGATCTGCACTGTACACAGTACATTTTTCTGCACTGCTCACTCTGAACTGCTTTAGTTCTCATGGCAACCTCTTTACCTGCAATTTTCGCTACTACTGGCGATGGGCCTCCTCTGGATCAGATGTCATCACAAGAATAACAGTAAAAGAAAGAGAAAGAATAACAGTGAACCTTTCTCCCTCGTAGTGGACCAAGTCCTTGGAATACTTTTTTTCATTTTATACTATATTTTGAAGCTGAGCCGAATCATTTCGTTTGGCTTCTCGACCCCTCGTATCTTTCGGCTACTCTGCCGCAGCTTGCCATCAAAGAACATCAATTTCTCTTCTTCGTGATTAGGTATAACAAGACTGGAAAGTGCAGGTCCACTGTTTGCTCAACCATTGCATCATCGAGACCAAAATATGTGCATCATAAATTAAATGTTCGGGTACGTACGTCTATGAGAATCTCCAACTCGAATGTCCGTCTCGAGGCTACCGCATGAGGAGCTCCTTTTATTATTTTCACTTTGTTAAAAGAAGGGAGTCAACAACAAGAGTGTGAAGCCGTGATGTTCCCAGCATTTGGTTCGGCTACCACTAAATTCTACATAAGATAATAGATGTCTAGATAATTCAATACCATCCAGATAAGTGGAGAGAAGGGCATACGTTCCGGGGCAGATATCCACGAGCCTGTCAAGTCCCTGCAGGCGATGGAAACCTTTCATCCGCTCGAGAAACGGCTTGCGCTGTATCCCCATCACACCCCGAAGAGGTTACATGTATGAGGAGAGGGTGTTACGTGTTGTTGTTGTTGCTGCTGCTAAATGATGACAAATACACCACCACTGGACCAATCCAGTCGTTGTCTACGCTTCGCATCACCCCCTGGGCAGCATTATCATGCGTGTCGACCCTGATGAAAGGAACACACATATACCACTGACGCATTGGCTTCCACGTATGTGACGCCGTTCCCGTTGAGAAGAATTCCTCCTGTCATGAACAGCAAGCTTACACATCTCCAAACAACAACAAGAGAGAGCGAGAGAAAAAGAAAGAAAGAAAACAATGAAGCGACATGATTGGTTAGGTTGGATCCTCTTCAATTATTGTACGGGCTCAGACCCTTAGCATTCATATTCAAAAGAAAAGTGGTTCTCCCAGAAGTGCAAGGTGGGGGCCGTCACAGCTAATGCCCATGATTAGAAAGAATCATCCAGCTCTCCTGTGATATAAGCATCTGATGATCACGATCGATGCACAGTGGTGGCGGAGGACAAAAACTTACCGGGCAAGAAAGATGCAGAAATTAACATGGAAATTTGACCATCGACAAGAGACGTGCGTGTCATGGACGATTGATTAACCATTAACCTTCTCCATGCACGAGCCCTTTTATGATGATGTGGGATTGGTTTAAGATATGGAGAACAAAATATAGTGGGAAAGCCACTTCTATTTCGTGTTAGATGCATGCGTCTCTCAGCTTCTTGGTTGTGCCTAATTCAGATGCCACGCTCGCTCCAGCGGAATATGTCTTTTTCGTAAGCCAAATTTATGTTGTGCATGAAAAATATGCATATCCTCGATTGAAATTACGTAATATGGTTTGTTTTCTATTCGGCTACTCATTATTTTTCCTTTTATCGTGCTTATTGAGTTGGAACGTAGGATGGTACTCGGTTTGATTGATGGTAATCTGAAGCACAGAAGCGTAATATTTAAAAGCTGTGCTTTTGATATGTTCATTAATGAATGATGCCCTTTGTTTAGTTAGCTAGCTAGCTAGCTTTTTGTATGTTTCATCGAAGAGTAATGGTTTTCAGGTGATAAAAGTAGATAGAATATAAATAAATACCTTTCTCGGAGAGGCAAATGTTGTTTATATGATCCTTTGTTATATTTGTTGGTCTTCCAGTATATATGAGAAGCACTTTTCTTTAGTAGAAGAAAAACCATTGGCTTCCTCGGACGCTTGTAGGATTGTGCATAATTCTTTTGAGCTCAAGCGAATCGGACATACGAGTCGTTTGGAATTCGGTAAATGCTAAATTTTCCAAACTCAGCATCTTTGAGAGAGTAAATTAGATGTATTGTTTCCTAATTTCTTTATAAATGAGATCTAAGCAATGAAATAATCCTTTTTGGCTTTTTGATGTGTGAAATATGGATACCACCGAGGGTTGTTAATTAGGATATTACCAAGATCAGAAATCAATTAGAGAAACTTGCATGAGCAAGAATTAAAAATAAATAAAATGATCGTTTGAGAAAGGTTAAAAGAATATATATATGTATATATATATATATATATATAGAGACAGAGAGAGAGAGAGAGAGAGAGAGAGAGAGAACACAAGTACAGATAAACAACAGAGAGTTGAGTGGGTTTCGTGATAACTATGAACTTGTGAGGAAACTTTAATCCGATTATGACAGAAAACCTCGATTCACTCAGTCAAGTAAAATGAAGTCGTGGTGGTAATTAGGACAGCACTTTTAATTTTCTTATCATGAACAATTGATGGATTGAAAGAAAGTAGGGTCATTAAAAGGCGCATGCATGGTGTGGTCATTGAATTTTGCTTTCTTTTAACATGTTTCAAAAAGCAAGGGTGAATTAAGACACTGATGTGGTTGAAGGTAAGTATTGGAACCAAAAGCAGGTTCTCATACTAAGTGGTCATCATGACAAGGAATAATTTGGCAGAAATTGAGATACTCTTTGTCCGAACTGCAACTTCCAGACTGAATAAGACATACACCATCGTCCTTCCCTCACTATGAAGACCTAACTCACAAGGATTTGAATGCGACTCCTCCTCCTCCTCTTTCTATAGCAAAGATTTTTTGATTCATTACTGGTGGGGTCAGTCTACTCTACAAGTGATAGGATGCTTTCAAATGACGAATGCATGTATCCTTGGTTTGTGAACATGAATGCCCCGTGAAAGAGGAGGTGGTGAGTTGAGTTATGGCTTCTGATGACGAGAGGAAATGTTTGAATGAGAGGCGGAAGAAGAAGAGCAGGGATGGATATGGAGTGGGAGATGGGAACAAAGCTCAAAGCAGCATCTAATCATAATGCAGAAGAAAGGTGGAAGCATCCAAAGCGGGAATGATGATCACGTACGTACGCACGCTGTGTGATGCATGTGAACTTGCCGTTGTCGTTGCTGCTGCCGATCATTTTTTTTACTATATATGCACGGGGGGGGGTCATGCCACCGATATTACTCGTTTCACACAATCCCAGCGAGTTCCAATTTGGCGAAATGGAAAGATATATCAAATTGAGGAACCAAATCTAACCATCAGCTAGCTGAATCCCTTTTTTTATCTTTTAGTACTGAGCGAGTGGACCGAAGCGCTGAAGCCCTCTCCTAACACTAGTGTTGCTCTGCTAAATCATGCTCCACTTGAGTTGTATCCTAAAACGAATGTACCGGGCAGCAGGGATCTCACGAGACAAATGACCGGAGACACATATGATCAGTCTGCACAAGCCACATCGGGCAAAGATTTTGGAAGAAGGTAATGTGTGAAATTGCAACTTCTGCTGGACGACCGCCGTCAATCAAACTTGACACAGCGGAGCCTGTCGTACGTGGTGGCCTGTGAAGATTAGGGTTTGACTAAGTGGATGCTGCTTGATACGCTAAAAATCTTCTCCAAGGAAAAAACGATGTTGTCCGACGACAGAGTGTGACGAGGAAAAGAAGATGGGAAAACCACAGCCCATTGTCTCTCTTCTGGTTTGGCTGATTGCCACTCCGATTTACGGCAAGCGAACAGACGAGGAGTGAGGTTGAAAGGAGGAGGAGGAGGAGTAGGAGGATCATCCGTGAGAGGAAGTGAATCATTTTTTAATGCATCCATCGAATCACACATGCAAGTACTTCCCTTGTTTTCTTTCGAATCTTCCACCATCTGAAAACGAGATCGCTTCA